TGTAAGTGTACTTATAACCCACTCATAAGCCCCTTAAGTGCCCTACTATGGTTCTAAGTGCAGTTATAAGTACAGTTATAATTGGTTAATAATTACCATGAACCTCCAAGTAGACCCCATCCAGCCCAAGCCCTGCCCCGCATACCCCACTGTGCCCCCTCCACTGCCTGAACCCTGAAAACCCTCAAAAACCCGAAGCCCCCCCCCCCCCTAAACCCCCGAAACCCCGCTAGGACCCCCTAAACCCTAAACCCCTAAACCACCCTAAACCCCCCTAAAAACCCTCCCAAAAAAAAACCCTAACCTCCTAACCCCCCTAAACCCCAAAACCCCCCTAACCCCCCTGAACCCCCAGCCCTAAACCCTAAACCTTACCCTAAACTCCAACCTCCAAGCCCAAACCTTACCCTAAACCCTAAACCTTAAACCCTAAACCCTAAACCCTAAGCCCCGAAACCGCTTCCGGAGATGCGCCTGGCGTTGATGCAAAAGGGCTTGAGGAGCTTCGACTTGAACCGGAGGATGCCCCAGGCCTGTTATGGGTTTAGGGTTTAGGGTTTAGGGTTTAGGGTTTAGGGTTTAGGGTTTAGGGTTTAGGGTTTAGGGTTTAGGGTTTAGGGTTTAGGGTTTAGGGTTTAGGGTTTAGGTTTTAGGGGTTAGGGGTTAGGGGTTAGGGTTTCGGGTTTAAGGGTTTCGGGTTTAAGGGTTGAAGGGTTTAAGGGTTTGAGGGTTGAAGGGTTTAAGGGTTTAAGGGTTTAAGGGTTTAAGGGTTTAAGGGTTTAAGGGTTTAAGGGTTTAAGGGTTTAAGGGTTTAAGGGTTTAAGGGTTTAAGGGTTTAAGGGATAAGGTCATAAGGCAATCAGGCACCCCTAATGACCTACAAAGAAGTATCAATCCGTCCCCGTATTTTGGGTTTAGGGTTTAGGGTCTGGGGTTTAGGGTTTAGGGTTTAGGGTCTAGGGTTTAAGGTTTCGGGTTTAGGGTTTAGGGCTTCGGGCCCTGAAGCCCTAAAGCCCTATAGAACCCCACATTTCAGCAGCCCCGATGTTAAGGCCAGGGCATAGAAGAGACTCGAGATGCCACGCGCATCAAAGGCCTGGCATGCAGGGAGCACGGGGTTTAGGGCTTAGAGAGGCAGGGTGCGGTTTCGGGGTTGAGGGGCTAGTGGTTTTCAGGTTTAGGGGTTTAGGGGTTTAGGGATCTAGGGGTCGAAGGGTTTAGGCGTTAAGCGGCTTAGGGGCTTAGGGCTGCAAAGTTTCGGGGTTTAGGGTTCCTTGTATTAGGGTGTACCTGAGAGGTAGCGAGTGTGACATTGTTTGGGGGCTTGGCAGTTTCTGGCGTTGGGGCTCGGGTTTCGGGTTAGGGTTTCACAACACACAGGGAACGGCCACCATGATTTTAGGGGTGTAGGGTTCAGGGTTCCCCTCCAAGAAGGCCTAAACACCCCAAAACATCAACCCAACCTGTGCTGGGCACACCTCTCAAGCATCCCACCCAGGGTTTGACCATTCAGCAATAGGGGGAAGCTCAAAACCGTGTCCATTCTGCTAACCCAAAACCCGAAACAAAAAATCCCAAAGCCTTGCAAAACAGGCCCAAACCCCCGAACCCCTAAACCCTAAACCCCAAACCCTAAACCCTACCCTAAACCCCAAACCCCAAACCCTAAACCCTAAACCCTACACCCTAAACCCTAAACCCGAAACCCTAAACCCCAAACCCTGAACCCCAGACCCTAAACCCCAAACCCTAAACCCCAAACCCTAAACCCCAAACCCCAAACCCCCCCAACCCCCTAAACCCTAAACCCTACACCCTACACCCTAAACCCTAAACCCTAAACCCCAAACCCCCCCAACCCCCAAACCCAAAGTTTCCAAAACCCACGCCTCGGGCCCGAGGTCCCGCACAGCCTGTGTGAGGCGCCGCTGCAGCTCACGGACCTTGCTCTTGTTGGGTTTGGGGTTTGGGGTTTAGGGTTTAGGGTTCAGGGTTTAGGGTTTGGGGTTTAGGGTTTGGGGTTTGGGGTTTGGGGTTTAGGGTTGTAAGGTTTGAGGTTTAGGGTTTAGGGAAGGGGGTTTCGAGGTCTAAGGGTGCAGGATCCCTAAACCTAAGCCACCAGTGTGTAGGACTTAGGGTTTAGGGCTTGAGGGATTAGGGTTTAGGGTTTAGGGTTTAGGGTTTCGGGTTTAGGGCTCGGCTCTGCAAGCTGCAGCGGCTGGGGCATTGTCGGGTTTCTGCGCCCTTGGGGGTGATGAGGCAGGGTTTGGGGCACACCTACTGGTACCTAGCAAAAGGGAGCTTATATGCCCATATGTATATATATATATATACCCTACTGACCCTAACGCCCTAAACCCTAAACTCTTTAAGTGATGTCTATGGAGTACCTGATTCCCTCATGCCCTACTAAGGACCAGTAGCAATGGGGTAGTCGAAGCGGTAGTAGGTTTAGGGTTTAGGGTTTAGGGTTTAGGGTTTAGGGTGTAGGGTTTAGGGTTTAGGGTTTAGGGTTTAGGGTTTAGGATTTAGGGTTTAGGGTTTAGGGGTTTTGGGTTTAGGGTTTAGGGCTTTTGGGTTCAGAGTTCAGGGTTCAGGGTTCAGGGTTCAGGGTTCAGGGTTTAGGGTTTAGGGTTTAGGGTTTTGGGGGAATTCCCGGCCGACCCTGCTCCGTCTCTTTCAAAGCATAACACCACCCATCTCCTGCATTTTCAGGGGAGCTGAGACCATGGCCACCCGGGCGGGAGGATTTAAGGTTATTTGGGGTTTAGGGATTAGGTTACGTACCTGCCAGGGGTTTAGGGTTTAGGCTTTAGGCTTTAGGCTTTAGGGTTTAGGGTTTAGGGTTTAGGGTGTAGGGTTTAGGGTTTAGGGTTTAGGGTTTAGGGTTTAGGGTTTAGGGTTTAGGGTTTAGGGTTTAGGGTTTAGGGTTTAGGGTTTAGGGTTTAGGGTTTAGGGTTTAGGGTTTAGGGTTTAGGGTTCTTAATAGGGGTTATAGTAGTGGGTACTAGAATCCTCATTAAGGACTGTTAGTATGCGGGGGAGCATCCCAATTTTAGGGTTTAGGGTATTAGGGTTTAGGGTGTCAGGGGTGTAGTGTATTAGGGGTTCAGGGTATTAGAGTTTAGGGTGTTGGGGGTTTAGGGCATTAGGGGTTTAGGGTATTAGGGTATTCGGGTCTAGGATTTCTGGGGTGCAAGAGGGCCCATGCTTCCGAGGGCTCTCCATAAGAGAATCGCCTCAGCACCCCAAATGCGCGCATCATATGTACATTCTTTTCCAGGAAGGCAGGAGACCCCCAAAAAAGGAGGACAGCAGGTTTAGGGATTAGGGTTTAGGGTTTAGGGAATAAGGGTTAAGGGTTAAGGGTGAAGGGTTAAGGGTTAAGGGTTAAGGGTTAAGGGTTAAGGGTTAAGGGTTTAGGGTTTAGGGTTTAGGGTTTAGGGTTTAGGGTTTAGGGTTTAGGGTTTAGGGTTTAGGGTTTAGGGTTTAGGGTTTAGGGTTTAGGGTTTAGGGTTTAGGTTTAGGGGTTAGGGTTTAGGGTTTAGGGTTTTGGGTTTAGGGTTTAGGGTTTAGGGTTTAGGGTTTAGGGTTTAGGGTTTAGGGTTTAGGGTTTAGGGTTTAGGGTTTAGGGTTTAGGGCTAGGGTTTAGGGCCGAGGGTGTTCGGGTTTAGGGGCAAGTTTGCAGGGCTCACGGCCAAGACAATCTTCCGGAGACACCGAACACAACAGAGGTTTGCTGCGGCGTGGGGGGGGGGGGTCGGAGCTGCTCAACCCTGTGAATAGATGGGGGGATTTGGGGGGGATAAGGATGATATGGGGGTTTCGGAAACTAGGGGTACCGTATTAGGGTCCTTATTATAAGGGAATCCTACTATCGGGGGTTCCATATTAGGGGTCCTTTATTTCGTCAACCCCCATATCTTGGGGATATATTAGTGGTACCTCTTCTACTGTTTGCTTAAGAACCCGGCAAAAAAAACAAACAAGATAATAATCCTATGTTACCCTTGTAAGGAAGAACATTCTTTGGGGTGGCCTTCTTAAGTAAATAGTAGTCTACTTTTGGGGAATACCCAATAGACAGCTCCAGAAGGCCTAGCATCCGTTGCCAGGTATACCATTCAACCATCCGAACAACCACCTTTAGGGTTCAGGGTTCAGGGTTCAGGGTTTAGGGTTTGGGGTTTAGGGTTTAGGGTTTAGGGTTTAGGGCTAGTCGGGCAGTAGGGGACCTCAAGAATTTCTCTACCTGAGTTGATGGACATGCCCAAGGTCTTCAGGCATAGACTCAACTGACAACATCACGAAGGCCCGAAGGCCTGGAAATGAGAGTGCTGCCCCCTAAACCCTAAACCCTCAACCCTCAACCCTAAAACCTAAACCCTAAACCCTAAACCCTAAACCCTGAGTGCTGCAATCTAGCGCAGTTTCCGGACTCCCAAACATTGCAGTGCAAGCAGCGATCTGGCTCGCACGACAGGCCGCTGGCTCTGAGCAGCCTAAACCCTAAACCCTAAACCCTACACCCTACACCCTAAACCCTAAACCCTAAACGTTCTTTGCCGATCCGCATGCTGCCTTTGAGGACATGTCAGCCACAGCTCCAGTAATCCCCTCGCCCTAATCTTAAACCCCCCCCTACCCCCCCTACCCACCCAATATTCGATACTCCCAACTGTGGCTATAGTATAGTTTGTGGGGGTTTCCGAAAATAAGGGTACCCTTTTGGGGGCCCCTGTAAAGGGGATTCTGTTCTATTTGGGGTATACCCCTATTTTCGGAAACCTCCATATGGAGTGGCATTTAAAATTAGGGGGTAGTGGGGGGGGGTTAACATTAGAGGGAGTGGTCCTTGAAGCCTAAATCCTAGGGCTTCAGTACTATCCCCATGAAGGACTATTCGTACAAGGGGGGGGAACATCCCAAGGGTAAACCCTCATTTTGGTGTGCCCCCTGCCTCCCGTTCATTCATTCCCCTCAGGTCTTCGCCGCGCCTCTCACGGAGCGGCGCCTGTCTCCTCCACGCGTCTCCGCTTGACCGCGGCTGAGAGCGCCACGTTGTAGGACTCCGTATACATCCTGAGGCGCCCCCCACCCCCCCCTGAACCCAAAAACTTTTGGGCGCTTGACAGGTGATTGGGGACCCTACACCCTGAACCCAAAAGGCTGTTGATAGGTGACTTGGGAACCCTAAACCCTAAACCCTAAACCCTAAACCCTAAACCTTACATACACCTATGCTACCCTTCAAGAAACTTTATGGGGACTCCCGGCTCCCTTCTACAAACCAGCAAGTAAAGCCCCAAAATCCTCAACGCAGACAAAAGTTTAGGGTTTAGGGTTTTGGCCTTAGGGCTTAGGGCTTGGGGCTTAGGGCTTAGGGCCTAGGGCTTAGGGCTGAGGGCTTAGGGCTTAGGCTCTTGTCCCACATCCTGAGGACCGGACTTTTCCCCCCGAGGCATGTGGTAGTCCACTTCCATATTCTTCCTTGACAGAACGTGGGTTCAGAGCTGAGGGTATTTAGGGGGCCAGGGATTCAGGGTTTTAGGTTGAGGGATTGGGGGGTTTGGGGGATTGAGGGTGTTTGGGGTTTTGGGGTGTATGAGCTTACCGTAAGTTATCTCCACTCGCCTCTACCCCTGAACCCCGAGAGCCCATTGAAAGCGGATTGCATTTGTTTCAGAGGCAGTTGGCCCTGAGAGGTCCAGGGTTTAGGGTGTAGGGTGTAGGGTTCAGGGTTCAGGGTTCAGGGTTCAACTTTGAAAGGTTTAGGGTTTTGGGTTTTTGAACTTCAGGGCAGGGTTTGACTGTGTTTTGGTACCCTCACAAACCACAGGAGTTTCAGAGCAAACCCCGCTCTGTTTTAATCCTTGTGAGTGCTAAGATGAATATAGCCGCTCTAATTCCCAAAGCTAGATGTCCCTTGGACAAGCAGCAACCGCTGCGCTTGATTTAGGGCCTTTTCTGCTTTTTTCGGTTGTGATTTGCTTAAGAATTCTTGGGGCATGATATGGGGGTTTACGAAAATAGGGACGCCCGGATAGTGGGATTCCCTTATGACCAGGACGCCAATAAGGTACCTGATTTCGGAAACCACCATTTTGGCAAGAGTTTACTGGGAGCTTCATGGTACTTACTAACCAATTATAACTGTACTTATAACCATTTTAGGGCACTTGAGGGGCTTGCAAGCGGGGTATAAGTACAGTTGTAATTGGGTAATAAGTACCATGAACCTCCAAGTAGGCTACTGAGTTAACAGGTGTGTAGCCGGATTGCCACCAGGGTGCTGGGTCACGAACTCGTAGCCCTTCCGCTGCCAGATTCCAACCTGGGTCAAGTCGGGTCCCCTTGCCAGTTAACCCCTACTCTCCTCTTGCCCTAAGCCTAAACCCTGAACCCTAAACCCCTAAAACCCCTAAACCCCTAACCCCCTTGAACCCCTAAACCCTTTAACTATTCCCTAAACCTCAGTTGACTAAACCCCCTAGCCCTTAGACCCAACCTTAAACACTCAACCCGAAACCCCGCAAGACTGGGCGTGTGGGGCTGAGCTCCTGGCAACTTCCTCCCACGCAAGCTTGAGTCGAGCCTGCCAGCATGCCAGCCGAGGTATGCGAGAGTATGTAAGGTTTAGGGTTCGAGGTTTTGGGCTTTAGGGTTTAGGGTTTCGGGCTTCCAGGACTCTTTGGGCTTAGGATTGCTGTTGAGCTTCGGGTTCTTAGAGTTCGGGTCCCGGATTGACTTTTCTTTGCGTGGGGGGCTCCTGGCTCCCTTTTCGTGGAGCGAGACCCTAACCCCTAGACCCTAAACCCTAAACCCCAAACCCTAAGATTGGGATGAACGTTTTTTGGTATCGGTGGGTGCTCAGGGTTTTGGGGTTTAGGGAAGGGCTCAGCACTAGCCACGAAGCTCTAACCGCCCTGCACCCCTATGTCAAATTCGGGATCTTGTAATGAGAATGAGTGGGAAGTTTGCGTCGGGAACATGTAGGATTATAACCTATGCAATGATTTAAGCTCCGGTACTACCTGAACCGAAACCCGTAGCAACACACCGCCTCTTCGCCCCAAGCACATGATTCCCTATGCTCATCGCTATTCGGGCATATGGAGCTGAAACCCTCAACCCTAAACCCCCCCCCCCCCCCCAAAAAAAAAAAAACCTTGTTCATTTAGTTCTTCAGGAAACACTGAAGCCTGCAAAAGCTTAGAGGGCCCTTGAATTCGAAACAGCCCGCTACTGGCCCCAACCCTCAACCCTTTTCGAGCGAAGAGTAATTCCCAAAAAGGAAGCCCGATCCCTGAACCCTCAACCAACCCGCGTATACGTATGTGTATATATAGATATATAGATATATAGATATATAGATATATAGATATATAGATATATAGATATATAGATATATAGATATATAGATATATAGATATATAGAGATATAGATATGTAGATATGTAGATATATAGATATATAGATATATAGATATATAGATATATAGATATATAGATATATAGATATATAGATATATAGATACATAGATATATAGATATATAGATATATAGATATATAGATATAGAGATATAGAGATATAGAGATATAGAGATATAGAGATATAGAGATATAGAGATATAGAGATATAGAGATATAGAGATATAGAGATATAGAGATATAGAGATATATAGATATAGATACATACATACATGCATACATACGTACGTACATACATACATACATGCAGACAGGCAGACATAAACATATGTATGTATGTATGTATGTATGTATGTATATATACACGGGTGTAACTGGGTTATAGGACCCGTTCAAGACGGCCTAACAAGCACCCTGAACCTCCAAGCAAGTCCCCACAAAGGGCCCAGAATTGGGGTCAAGCACCACATGCCACTGCGGCGCGCCTCCTTCCTCCAATTCAGGGGCCCGATGTTGACCCAAACGCCTCCCTCATTGAGGAGGCCGTCCATCACCTTGGTCATCTACACCCAAGATTCAGGGTTTAGGGTTCAGGGTTTAGGGTCTACGGTTAGGGTTTGATTAGGGTCTAGGGTCTAGGGTCCACGGTCTAGGGTCTTGGGTTTAGGGACTTGGGTCTAGGATTGAGGGCTTTGGGGTGTAATGGTAGGGCGTAGGAACCCTGACCCCCACCCTGAAGCCCAACAACCCCTATCTACCATGCCACCCTTCAATCTTAAGCACCCCTAGCAGCCCAAATCCAACGCTAGATTCAAGAGCAATTTAGGAAATAGGGCACCCTTTGTGGTTCAAAGGGGTTTATGCGAACCTGAACCCTAAAAAGGGTGAATAAGGGCCTACTCTGGGTCCGAGTGAATGTTCTTGGAGGGGAACCTAAACCCTAAGAAAAAAAGGAATGAGGGCGTACTCTGGGTCCTAGAACAACAACAGCAGCGCAGGGGAGGCAGGCTTCTCCCCCTTCCGAGGGCTGCAGACTTTCGGGTGCGTGCTTGGCAGCTTAGGGTGTAAGGTTTTTAGGTTTATAGGGTATATAGGGTTCACATAGGGTTAAAAGGCTTTGTAGGGTTGATAGGGTTTGGAGGGTTTGTTGGGTTTATGGGGTTGATAGGGCGACAGTGCGATTTAGGGCTTAGGGCTTTTAGGGTCTAGGGTTTCGGGTCTAGGGTTTAGGGTCTAGGGTGACCCTATCCCTTGAAACCCGAAAGCCCTAGAGGCAACATGAAAAATAAAAATCCGAGACTCCCTCTACCAAATAAACCCGAAGCCCTAAACCCTTCAACCCAATACCCCAGATTCCTAAACCCTAAACCCTAAACCCTAAACCCTAAACCCTAAACCCTAAACCCTAAACCCTAAACCCTAAACCCTAAACCCTGCCATTCAAAACCATGGCTCCTGGAAGAGCTTTGCGGGGTCTGCCGCCGTGTCGATGAAGAAGCAGGTGAGCAAGGCCTTACCACGGCAAGTTCGGCGATGCTTGCATTCTGTATTCTTAATCCCTGTTCCCCTAGGAAGAAAAAAAGGATCCTTTTTGTTTAAATATAAGAAAGCCCATAGCCCAAAAAGCAAAAAGGATCCCTAACACTGATTGTGTATTGGGGTACCTGTCGGGGCCCCTTTCCTCAGGGCTTCTCCCAAACCCTAAACCCTAAACACCAAACTAAGCCCTAAACCCTAAACCCTAAACCCTCAACCCTAAACCCTAAACCCTAAACCCAACGTACCCTAAACCCTAAATCCTAAACCCTCAGCCCTAAACCCTATCAAATACTATCAAGCTACCTGGAAGGGGTGGTCCTTAATTTAGTGTGACCCCCGGTTGTGGGCGTGGGCGTTCACGCCCAAGGAACAACAACGTACCAGGTCATCCAGGGCCTCAGAACCCCTCGACAAGTTCTAAAGCCTAAACCCTAAGCCCTAAATCCTAAATCCTAAACCCTAAACCCTAAACCCTAAACCCTAAACCCTAAACCCTAAACCCTAAACCCTAAACCCTAAACCCTAAACCTTCTCAAAAAAAATCCATGTCAGACCGAAGCTGAGGTGTCTGCATCAAACTTGCGGTGCCCAGGACCACCTTCCTGCGGGGGCAAGGCAGGTGCGGAATTGGGACTACTCGGATTTAGGGTCTAGGGTCTAGGGTTTAGGGTTTAGGGTTTAGGGCTTAGGGTTTAGGGTCTAGGGTCTAGGGTCTAGGGTTTAGGGCTTAGGGCTTAGGGTTTGGGGCGTTGGGGTGTTGGGGCAAAGTCCGAAACTGTAAAGCCCAACCCTGGGGTACTTGCCTGGTGCTTCGGATTCTGTGTTGGGGACTCAGGTCCCCAGCAGGCCATCTTGTTTACCTTTCTTTGTAGCTGGTAAGTGGCGTATTATCAGCCGTATAGAGGAATTGCAAGGGTTTAGTTTAGGGTTTAGGGCTTAGGCATGATATTGGAACAGGGGTAGGTTTTATCTCCACATATCATCATGGGGATGCAGTTGGGCCCGTCAATGGTGCAGAGGGAAGGCAACCCCTGAACCTGATAAAGCTTAACAGCCATTAAACATTTGCGTTTAGGGTTTAGGTTTAGGGTTTAGGGTTTAGGGTTCAGGGTTCAGGGTTTAGGGTTTAGGGTTTAGGGTTTAGGGTTTAGGGTTTAGGGTTTAGGGTTTAGGGTTTAGGGTTTAGGGTTTAGGGTTTTAGGGTTTCGGGTTCCAAACGGCGAAATGCAGCCTCATAGGTCTTCAGGAAGTCGCCCGGTACCAGCACGAGGGGAGCCCTCCACAAAGCTCCGGGTTTAGGTTTAGGGTTTAGGGCTAGGCTTTTTGGTCAGGGTTTTTGGGGTCTAGGGTTTAGGGCTTAGGGCTCAGGGTCTAGGGCTTTGGGTCCGCCGACCCTGGCGGCGTGTTGGATGGTTTTGGGGGAGGGAACCCTCCCCTCTTACACTGCAGGGCCGCACCCCAACCCGACCCCCCCAAAACAGCAGCCAGGGCCAACAACCTCCCCAAGCCCACTTGCGAAAAACAACAAGAACAACACGAAGATGGGCTTCGGCTTTGGGGGGGGGTTGAGAGGTTAAGGGTCTCTTGGGTCGGCGGCCTGAGCCGGAGGCTGGGCAACGCCTCTCTGTGTGCCCGCCAGGCCGGAAGCGCTAAAGGAGGGCATCATGGGACCTCCGCGGACTCCTGGGCCCTTCCGGACAGCACGCCGCCCATACCGATGATTTTGAGCTTTCATGCCCCTTGGGAGGGGTGCCGATGGTTTCAAGGAGGAGAAGCGGGGGCCCAATGATGCTCATGATGCTGGGGGGAGGGCCCGGGGGTTTACAGGGCGAGGAACGGAGCCAATGATGCGCGTGTGATGCCTCTGTCGGAGGAGGCTTGTGAGACTTTTTTCCGGCTCGTGCAGCTTGTCTTGTGCGCTCGCGCCGTTTGGTTGGCTTTGCCGGCGCATGCGGGCGCGCCCAGTGTTTAGTTAGGGTTTCGGGTTTAGGGTGCGCTGCATGCCCCTGGGCGCAGCCCCTTAAAATTTCGGATTTAGGGTTTAGGGCTTAGACTCAGGCAACCTGCAGGGGCTTCAGGGCTTGCATGGGCTTGTGGAATTTCGAAACTTATGGCATTTGGAATTTGAGAGGTGTTTGGGGTTGAGGGTTTAGGGGTGTGGGGGTTTTGTCCTTTGGGGGTCTTGCGGTTTTGGGGTTAGGGTGTTCGGGCTTGGGGTTAAGGGGCCTCGGTTCGGGGTTCAACCATAAAACACAAACATAAAACGTGAAAAAACCTGTAACAAAACACACAAAAACAAACACACACACACACACACACACACACACAACTAAAACAAAAAACTTCAACTTTCAAAACCCAAAAACCAGAGGAAACTGCTGCGCCTCCCCTCCGGGGACTTTGCCAAGGCGGCCAAAGCTTCGGGCCGCACGGAGGGCACGATCATATCCACGTACTGCTGGGCGTGACCTTACAAAGGCCAGGGCTTGGGTGGTTTAGGGTTTAGGGACGAGGGTTTAGGGTTTAGGGCTTGGGTGGTTTAGGGTTTAGGGTTTAGGGTTTAGGGTTTAGGGTTTAGGGTTTAGGGTTTAGGGTTTAGGGTTTAGGGTTTAGGGTTTAGGGTTTAGGGTTTAGGGTTTAGGGTGTAGGGTGTAGGGTTTAGGGTTTAGGGTTTAGGGTTTAGGGTTTAGGGTTTAGGGGTTAGGGTAGCATAAGGGCTGCTAGGGTTTAGGGTTGGAGAATCTTAGGGGTCTTAGGGATCAGGAGGGTTCAGGGATTCAGGATTGTTATTCTTCGTGTTAGGGGTCTAAGGATTTTAGGGCTTGGGGGCTTAGGGAACCCTAAGAGTGGTAAACCGGTAAACCCTAAACCCTAAACCCTAAACCCTAAACCCTAAACCTTAAACCCTAAACCCTAAACCCAAACCCCTAACCCCTAACCCCTAAACCCTAAAGCCTAAACCCTAAACCCTAAACCCTAAACCCTAAACCCTAAACCGCCCGAATTCAAGAAAAGGGCCGAAATTCTCTGTGAAGACATGCGCCAGTGGAAACAGCTGCCTCCCATCTGCAGGCGCCTCACCGGAAAGAGTGTGGAGGTTTTGGGCTTTCGGGCTTTGGGTCTTTTCACCAAGGCCTTTAGAGTTTAGGGTTTAGGGCTTTAGGGCTTTAGGGTTTAGGGTTTAGAGTTTAGGGTTTAGGGTTTGGGGTTTGGGGTTTGGGGTTTGGGGCTTGGGGCTCTGGGGCTTGGGGCTTGGGGCTCTGGGTCTAGGGTTCAGGGCGTAGGGGGTTTGGTGGTTTGCTTGGTGCAGCCGGGGCGCTCTGTTCAACAAATAGTCGGCGAACGTCAGAAACAGGCGTGAGGCATCCTTGCGTGCATCCCACATGCCGGGCCGACGTCTAGCAGCCGACGTCTAGCAGCCGACGTCTAGCATACTACAGAAACAACATCGGCAGCCAACGTAGCACGAACCTAAACCCTACGCCTTCAACCCTAAACTTCCCGAAACCTCAAACGAAACACCAACGTACCTACTTGTCACTTGTCGCTGCCAGCCCGAGACCTAGACGCCCTAGAGCCCGAATCCCTGTAAACCCCACCCCACCCCCCCCCCACCCCCCCCCCCCCACCCCCCCCCCCCCCCACCCCCCCCCCCCCCCCCGCAAACCCTACAAACGAAACCCGAAACCCTAAACCCTGAACCCTAAACCCCAAACCCCAAACCCTAAAGCCTAAACCCCCCCGCCCCAAAGCGCCGGCCCAGTCTCGTTGGCCTCGACCTGAAAACCCTCTGAGGCCATCATGAGGGCCAAGCGCCCAAGGCCTGCTCACAGGGTTTAGGGTTTAGGTTTTAGGGCTTAGGGCTTAGGGTTTAGGGTTTAGGGTTTAGGGTTTAGGGTTTAGGGTTTAGGGTTTAGGGTTTAGGGTTTAGGGTTAGGGGTTAGGGTTTGGGGTTTGGGGTTTGGGGTTTAGGGTTTTTAGGGTTTTTAGGGATTTTAGGGCTTAGGGCTTAGGAGGCTTTAGGAGGACTCAGGAAGATTCTCGAGGCTTTAGGGTGATTGAGGGGCTTCGGTTGAGATGTTCCCCCTTCTACTAGCAGTCCTAAGAATCCAAATAGGGATTACAGTACCCCCCCCCCCCCCCCCAGTATCATCCCTACTAAGGACTGTGAGGATGAGGGGGAACATCCAAACCCTAAACCCTAACCCTAAACCCGAAACCCTACACCCTAAACCCTAAACCCTAAACCCCAAGGCTTAGGGCTAGAGTGACTTGATGGGGAGCTGGGAGCGTTTGGGGTCAGGAGCTTGGCACTTGACAAGGTCGGAGCCCGCAACCCCAAACCCGTGCGGTGAACCCTCAAAAACCCCTAACAAGCCTTAGAAAGTCAAAAACCTGTTTAACAAATCTATGAGCACCCTATAAAGGCTCTATTAAAAAAACTATCAAAACCTGAAGACCCTACAAAACAATCTATAAGCACCCTTTGAAAAGAAAAGGCACAAGTTCGGCACTCCCCTGTCCTGCCCCCGGGAGGAGGACCTGGCCACCCTCGGGCAGGAGAGCCTGTGGGTTGAGGGCCTTAAGGGCCTTAGGGCCTTGGGGCCTTAGGGCCTTTTAGGGGCCTTAGGGCCTTGGGGCCTTTTGGCCTTTTAGGGGATCCCGGAAGGCTCTCTCCCCCGAACAAAGGTCTACACCCCAACATGGCACAATCCTGCTTCTAGGAACCTACCCCCCCCCCCCCCCTACTTTCGGACAAAAAACTCTGTATCTGCCTGCGGGTCATCCCAGAAACCCTACCCTAAACCCTAAGCCCTAAGCCCTACACTCTAAACCCTAAACCCTAAACCCTAAACCCTAAACCCTAAACCTAAACCCTAAACCCTAAACCCTAACCCTCCTTTACCCCCTAAACCCTAAACTCCTAAACTACGATGGCCCGGGGGAGTGCACTTCGGTTTCTAGGGTTTAGGGGTGAGACCGCTCTGTTTCTAGGATGTGGGGATTCACGATGCTTAGGGCTTCCGGGTGTCGGCCCGGACCGGGGCATCCGCTCCAAGGCCATCCCAAAACCAAACCCGAAAAGTTTCTATTCCAGGTTTAGGGTTGAAGGGTGAAGGGCTTGGGGCCTTAAAAATTTCAAACCAAAAACACACACACACACACACACAAGAAGCCCTACACACCCCTAGTTAAACCAGAAAATTCGGAGCCCGGGGTTCTGAGCTTAAGCTCTCGAGCTCTTGGAGGTCCGAACCCCTCTCTTAGCTCTCGCGCCTTTAGCTCCCTTACCGCGGGGACATACTGGTTCTGGACAACGTGCTCGCACTTCTGACTCCAGTCCTGGGCACCAGTTTAGGGTTTAGGGTTTAGGGTTTAGGGTTTAGGGTTCGGGTTTCGGGTTTAGGGTTTAGGGTTTAGGGTTTAGGGTTTAGGGTTTAGATCACAAAGGCAGACACTCACTCACCCACCACCCACCCACCCACCCACCCACCCACCCACCCACCCACACACCCACACACCCATACACCCACCCACCCACTCCCCCACTTACTCACTCAAACGAAAAAAAGATTAATGACCGGATAACCCCACATGCAAAGTTATCTATTCGCAAAGAGTGCAAAAGTGAATATGAGTGAGTGAGTGAGACAGTGAGCGAGTGAGTGAAGGCGCGAGTGAGCGAGTGAGCGAGTGAGTGAGTGCTTGAGTGTGAGTGAGTGATTGCGTGAGTGTGAGTGAGCGAGAGAGTGAGTGTGGGCTGTGTCCTTCGCCAGTGTTTTACTAGCGCGCGCGGGACCGGTCCAGGGACATGGTGCGTGACTCTGGCGCGTGAACGAGTCGTGGTGCATGAGTGAGTCAGTGAATGGTGTGTGGAGGAGGAGGAAGGAGGAGGAGGGAGAAGGAGGGAGGAAGAAGGAGAAGGAGGAAGGAGGAGGAGGGAGAAGAAGAAAGAGGAGGAGGAGGCGGGACAGCCCCAAAAGTAAGAACCCCACACAAAGATGTGGGGAACGACCAACAACCCTGAAACCTGAAACCCTAAAGCCTTAAGCCCTAAACCCTGGTAGCAGCTCGGGCGCAGACCCTCATCAGGTGTAAGAAGACGGAAGCCATAGAACCTGGGTTCAGGGTTTAGAGCTTTTGGTTGTTAACGATTCAAGCGGTTTAGGCTTAAGGTTTAGGGTTTAGGGTTTAGGGTTCAGGGTTCAGGGTTCAGGTTTCAGGTTTCAGGGCGTGGGGGTTGCAGGAAACACCCCTAGAAGAGCCGACCCTATGTAAACGCCCAACAGGCCCTGAGCCCTGCAACCCGAAACAACCCCCAAACCGCAAAGCCCACACCCTCACTAAGCCCCCGGAAGCTGAGGCCCCCCCCCCCCATGGTCGGATCTACAGCCACTTAAAACTCGAAAACCCTACAAAGGCTTGGTTCAGGACAGAACTGATGCCGCAAAAATCCCTAAGCCCTCTTCGTGCAAAAAGGGAATCCTGAGGTTTAGGCTAGAAAAAGGGGTCACAGGGCTCATAGGCCTCTGGGGCTTCAAGGGCTTCAAGGGCTTACAGGGGAGAACTGCAGGGCTTGATGATTTTATAGGGCTTG